TTATATGTCCTTACAGTGCTTATGTTAGATCTTTGAAAAATGTTAACTGACTGATTAATCAACATCATAATTCAGATTATGACATAATGCTAACTTTATGACTTCTTATCAGGGCAGGTCCTGAACAGGATAAGGAAGACACAAAAGAAATCCAAGTACACACATTTAATACCTCCTCAGTTCATCATAATAATTGTTGTTATTCAGTTGTTTCAGTTGTGTCTGACTCTTTGTGACCCCATTTAGGGTTTTCCTGGCAAAGATACCGTCACAGCCATTTCCTTCTCCAGCTCATTTAACATATGAGGAATCAAGGCAAACACAGTTAAGTCACTTGCCCAGGGTCACACAGCTAATAAGTGTCTGAGGTCAGATTTGAACTCAGAAAGATGAGTTTTCTTGACTTCAGGCCTGGCACTTGATCTACTGTGCTCCTCACCTATTCACCTAGCTGTCCCCCATGTCATAATAATAACTCAGATTTATATAGGATTCTTACAGTACTTTCTCTGTGATATTCCCTCAGCTTGCAATTGTAGGTTTGCAAGGTGGGTCTTTAGACGGTGGCTACGACCTTGAATTCTAGGGGGATTTTAATCCTGTGGGTCTGTACTTCTAACACTCTAGCCCATGAGCCCCCATCAATATGCTTCCCGTTAACAGACACAGTTATTAATGACATTTACTAAGATGGCATGGAAGAACAATGGTTACAAAGTATTCCCCTCATAAACCTAGGGCACACTCCCCAGAATATATTCAATGTCCATGTGAAGAATGAGCTCAAATTTAGGGTCCAATGGTAATGCCACACACATACCGCATACATATGTATGTAGCTATACGTACATGTGGTTACTCACAACTTCTGGTACTGGAGGGCCTAACAGTCTTTTTTCTCTGGAGCCTAAAGCAGCTCCCTCTGAGTGCAGTTCCTTTGCTAATCAGGTTGTTCGTCTGTGTTCCCAGGGTCTGCTACTCTCCACAATCTGATTCTCTTCTCTTTTGCCAGGGACCATGTTCCTTGAAGTTGCTTCAGCTCTCAAAAGGCTGTCTCTGTATTCATGTCTGTCCAGAGTTTGTGTCTCTGCTGTCTGCTGGATGCAATGTCTCCTACTGATTCAGCAGCTCTCTTTCAAAGCTGTATGGCTGATGATGAAGTGGGAACAGAAACAATCCTCTCTCCTCTATTTGAAGGGGGTTCCTCTGCAGGCAGTTCCAGGTTTGCAATGTCTTCAACTGGAACTTTTGAAATTTGTCCAGGGATTAGTTTTTCTAAAAGCTCCCTGAGGTGTGACTAATTTGTTTACTCAGATTTTCCTATTGTATCTCTGTTGACTCAGAGAGGTGTTTGGACACTAAAGAGATCAAGGCCATAGGTACATTTCCTATGTCTAATTTAATACCTCCTGAGCACCTTGTGATTATATTCTGAGCCTTCTATGATTACATTAACAGGCAAGCCAGCCTAATTGAAGCAGTAGGCCATCCTGAGGGTGAGATGGGAGATGGTATGTGCCAAGCAAGAGGAACCACCACCCATCACCACCATTTTGAGCACCATGCCCCTCAGACCCTGATCAAGACAGCCCAAGATTCTAAACCCAGAGCCTCAAGATTAGCTATGTCCCCCAAACCCCCAGTCCTGCTTCTAGCCCAGCCCTCACAGCCATGGTTTGGGAGTGGTGGCCCCTTGTGAAGAAGGGGCCAGTCATCCTCCATTAACTGTCAACCCACTGCCACCCACAGGGCAGGTAAGTCAACTATTGCTAAAGTAAAAAGGCACCCCGAGGAAGAGACAGGAGGCAGCATGTGCCAAGCACATTGAATCACTGTCACCTTGACCACTATTTCCTCTCAGACCCTGATGGAGACAGCCAAGGACCACGAACCCAGGAGTCTTCGTAATATCAATGTGCCCAGCCCAGTGTCTGTAGCCATCATCCTGGAGGCAACACCTGTGGAGAGGCAGCTCTTGCTACAGCAACATCTATTGAAGACCCAGAAAAAAAAAAGTTTTTGCCCCCAAAGTCCTTGGCACTAATCCTAAGTAAACATCAGAAACTGATGTCATTTTCTCAGTGGAAATGACATGGAAGAAGAGGTATTAGCCATTTGCTTTGTGGCTGTACCCTAAGCACCATGGGACCTTTCCATCTGAGTTGCAGCTGAAACTTTCCATTTGGGTTGGCTCCTCCATTAGAATGTTGGCTCCTGGAGAGCAGGGTCCAATTTACTTTTTGAGTTGTATCCCTAGGGTTTAGCTTAGTACTTTGTACATAATAAGGCTTAGTAGACACTTTATTCATCCATCCGTCCATTCAATCATTCAAACCTGAGGGAAGAAAGGAAATGACAACTCCACTCCTTGGCATTGTAGACACATTATCTCATTTGGCATTGTAGACACATTATTTCATTTGATCCCCACAACAACCCTGTGAGGTAGGTGCTATTATCTCTACTGTATAGATGGGGAAATTGAGTCTCAGAAAAGTGACCTATCCAGAGGCATAGAGCTGCTCTCTGAGGTAGTATTTGAATATGGGTCTTCCTGACCGCAAGTCCAGTGCTCTACCCTCTGCGTCACACATCTCTTGTGATCTGCAGCAGGGTACCTCTTACTAAAAGCTTCCTATTTTGAATGAAAAAGTTTCGTTGGGTTTGACAACTTCGACCAAAAAAACAAAGGCACCATGAACATTTTTGGAGGAGTCATTTCAGACTTGCTGGCGTGGTTCTCTTAAAAAGTACAGTTGGAGTCAGCAAACAATATATTTAGTGCAGAAGAAATACAAGTCATAGTCCTTGAGGTTGAGGAACTTGTGACAAGCCAAACCCACTGGCAGAGATTTCAAGGACATAGGAATGAAAATATTAGACCCGAGAAGAACAGCCAAAATACAGCCTAGTATTATAAAGATTTAGATTTTCCACATCCTGTCACGTCTGCGAAAAAATCACATACTTAAGAATTGTTTCCACCCAAACACTAGTGTCAGAAAGGAGTTACACTTCATTTATATTGAAGATGAATGGATTTTGTGAGTGGGGATAAAGAACTAGTACACTGAGATGGGGGCTGGGAAAAGGAGCCAAGGCAAAGCATTCCATCTCCAGGTTAGAGGTAGAGAATTACTGAGAGGAAGCAGAATGGTAAGTCTGGGAAGACTACCTGGAGGATATGGGATTTCAGAAGCTTCATCTTAATCTCACTGATAACTAAGTGTTCATATCTGACAAAAATGGAGCTGAGTTAAAATCTGAGCTCAGACGTTTACTGGCTGTGTGACCCTGGGCAAATCACTTGACCCCAATTGCCTTCAAAGAAAAGAAAAGAAAAGAAAATGGAGCTAAAAACCTTCTTGCACCACTAACTCTGGAGAAGGGATACATCCCTGAGGAGAAGGATTCAAGAACAGGCTCATTTGGCTGCTGTTTTGGGTGCTTTTTATTTTATTTTATTGTCCTTAAATCTTTATTTTTTAAAAATGTGTTTGATTTATTTTTAGTTTTCAACATTCATTTTTAATAAGATTTTGAGTTCTAAATTTTTTCCCCTTCCTTCCCTCCCCATTCCCCAAGACGGCATGCAATCTGATATAGGCTATAGTAGATATATACAATCATACTAAACATATTTCCACATTAGTCATGTTGTGAAAGAAGAATCAGAACAAAAGGGAAAAACCACAGGGATGAAAAAGAGAGAAAATAGTATGCTTTGATCTGCATTGAGACTCCATAATTCTTTCTCTGGATGTGGATACCATTTTCCATTATGAGTGTTTTGGAACTGTCTTAGATCATTGCATTGCTGAGAGAAGCTAAGTCTATCAAAGCCAATCATTGCACAATGTTGCTGTTACTGTGTACAGTGTTCTCCTAGTTATGCTCAATTCACTCAGCAACAGTTTATGTAAGTCCAGGTTTTTCTGAATTCTGCCTGCTCATCATTTCTTATGAAATAATACTATTCCATTACATTCATATACCACAACTTGTTCAGCCATTCCCCAATTGATGGGCATCCCCTCAATTTCCGATTCTTTGCCACCACGAAAAGAGCTCTTATAAATATTTTTGTACATGTGGATCCTTTTTCCTTTTTTATGATCTCTTTGGGATACAGACCTAGTAGTGGTGTTGCTGGATCAAAGGGTATGCACAATTTTCTAACCTTTTGGGCATAGTTCCAAATTGCTCTCCTGAATGGTTAATCAGCTCACAACTCCACCAACAATACATTAATGTTCCAATTTTCCTACATCTTCTCCAACATTTATCATCTTCCTGTTTTGTCATGTTAGCCAATCTGATAGGTGTGATGTGGTACCTCAGAGCTGTTTTCATTTGCATTTCTCTAATCAATAGTGATTTAGAGCATTTTTTCATATGACTATAGATAGCTTTAACTTCTTTCTCTGAAAACTGCCTATTCATAACCTTTGACCATTTATCAATTGAGGAATAACTTGTGTTCTTATAAATTTGACTCAGTTCTCTATATATTTTAGAAATGAAGCCTTCATCAGACACACTGGTTGTAAATATTGTTTCCCAGCTTTCTGCTTCCCTTCTAATTTTGGTTGCATTGGTTTTGTTTGTGCAAAAACCTTTTAATTTAATGTATTCAAAATTTTCCAGTTTGTATTCCATAATGTTCTCTATCCCTTGTTTAGTCATAAAGTCTTCCATTCTCCATAGCTCTTGACAGGTAAACTATTCCTTGCTGTCCTAATTTTCTTATAGTATTTTTGGGTGCTTTTACTGGTCTCAAGTTGTCTGGTCTGTTACTGGAGGGTGAAGCAGTGGAGAGGGGATGACCATTTAGATCCATCAGTTCTGAATAGTTAACACACTGTTATTAAAAAAAAACAACACAAAACACACACACACACACACAAAACAGGAAGTAGGAGGCTACTAACCAAGGGAATCATGAAATGAAAGTGAAATCATTTTGCTTCCTCATTATGCAGGACTCATGTGACAAGTTCTAATTTATATAAAAGTGAATTCTGCAGATCTCTTGTTCCTCTGAAATCTCTGGCATTAGTCCACGATGTTCCAAGAGTCCAGCAGAAGGAGCTCACCTGCTGCCTTCTCCAGGTAGGTTTTTACTTTTCTTTTCTCTTGTTTGACTATTTAACTATAAATACTCAACTTACATTTTTATCTTTCTCTCCTTGCCAGATTTTGAGCATGTAGTTTAAGGAAGTAAACTCAGAAATTATGTAGTCCATCTTGCTTTTTTTTTCCACTCTGAAAGGATTAAACTTTTTTTTAAAAAAGTCCATATCTGGCCTGTATGTCAAGGACATAGAGAAATTGTTTGGTATTATAAACCAAAGTCAAGAATGAATAAACTTTCTGGGTCTTTGAACTGCAAAAATGTTAGAAAAGAAAAATAAACTAGGAAATATAACTCAGTTACATATACATTTGCTAAGCATCTGTGATGTTTATGGCATTATGAAATTTTGCATCAATTTATGTGGGAAAAAAAGCCATTTTAGCCCAACACAGACATGCTGTTTTGAAATTTTTTAAAAAATTTACTGAGTCTTTTAGGGAAAGAATTCAGATTGCGATGACTCAAAAATAGTAATAATAGCTAGCACGTAGCAGTCTGAAGTTTGCGAAGTGCTTTACATGTCATCTCATTTGATCATCATCACATTCTTGGGAGGTAGGTGCTATTATTATCTCCAATCTACAGATGAGAAAACTGAGGTTGCCAGAGGTTATGTGCCTTGCTGAGGGTTAGCACTCTACGTACCACACCATGGAGCATCTCTAAGTGTAACTTAGAATGACAAGACTAGAATTTGGATGGACTTAAATAATCTGATCCAATCCCATCATTTTATACATGATAGTCTTCTATATCCTCATCTGTAAAATGAGGGTGTTGGATCTGATGACATCCATGGTCTAAATCTATGATCCATGCTCTGATAAGCGTAGGGAACGATGTAGGAAAAGGTGATAAATAAGACTACAAAGATAGATTGGAGCCAGAACATAGAGGACCTTTAATGTCAGGCTAAGGGATTAATAATTTTTTTTCAGCAGGAGGTGGAGAGCCATACAGCAGGGGAGTGATGTGGCCAGACCTATTAATTTTTCCCTATTTTTACACTTCCAGTTTTATTGATGTGTTTTGTTTTTACATTATACATTTTTACAAATACCTTTTATAGTTACCTATATGAAAAATCTCTTGTAATAAAGTAAAACAGTTAAGTGTGCAGTGACTTTGTCTGAACATGCGTGCAACGTTTTATATCTGTAGCATTCCCATCTCTGTATTTTTAAAAATCAATAGAAATGTATTTTTATCTCTCTCTCACTCCCCAGTCCATTTGAAAATAAATAATTTTCTTGTTACAAATATTCAGTCAAGCAAAATAAATCTTCCCAAAGACTGTACACAAATACATACAGTCATATATTGATCAATTGATCAATCAGTCGATACATAGGTGTCACATTCTGTACCCAAATCCATCACATCTATAATGGATAGCAGTTTTCATCATTGGTCCTTTGGAATCATGAGTGGTCATTATATTGACCTATGCATTATGGTGATTATTTTGTTAGGGTCTGTTTACCTCCCTTGATTGAAAGGTGTATTGAAGAAGGTAAAGAGAGGAAACAGGAAGACCTGTTAGAAATACATTACAATTTTCTCGGCAAAAAGTAAGGAAGAACTGGATTTGAATTATGGTAATAGGAATGGAAAGGAAGGAATGGATTTGAGAGCCATACTGGAGGTAGCATTAATAGACCTTGTCAACAGAAATCAGTTGGATGTCAGAGATCAGAAAGAGACAAAGATGAGTTGTCTATAAAACCAAAGAGCTCAAAGATGAGCTTTTCTATCCTCTCATTCCAATCATGAGCCCATCACAATGGCTCAGTGTCACCTATTAGATAAAAATTACTCCTATTCAGGTCTTTACTTCACCTTGTTTAGTTGGGTTATGGACGAAACTTTTCATTGGTATAGGTAACTCCTGGCTGAGGAAAGTCCCTTTAAGGAGTTAAGAGCAGTGAGCCTGGAGTCAGAAAAAAACAAGTTGAAATCTATCCTCAGACACTTACTAGCTGTGTGACCCTGGGCAAGTCACTTAACTTAGCAAACTCAGACCTTGCCCTCAGTTTCCTTCACTGTAAAATGGGTAAAATAATAACACTTATTTCATGGAGTTATTAGGAGGATCAAATGAGATAATATATATTTGTAAAGCACATAGCATGCTATCTGGCACATAGTAGGTACCTAATAAATATCTGCCCCTTCCCTCATTTACCAATACAGGTTAGCACTTTGCACATTATAATCTTAAAGTGTTTCCTAGAGCAATGGAATGGGGGGAGGGGGGAGAACTGATCCTAATAAAAGGATCCTTATGAGCCATTTATTGACTTAGTTTTAAATGTAATATTATCTATGTTTTATCGTATTTTTAAATATTTTGTTAAATATTTTCCAATGACATTTCAGTCTGGTTCAGGTCATACTCAGGGAGTGTTGCTATTGAAAGTGGTGGGTTTGACCCGTCTGGCTCAGAGCAATACGGAGAGTGTTTTGACCACCTGTGGAACTCAAGGGCATTATGAGAAAACACAGCACATGAAAGCTCCTCCTTTCCCATCCAGAGGCTTTACCTAATCTTCAGGTCTTTCTTCTTCCTTTACAAAATCAAAATGTTGATTTTTGTAAAGCATGTGAATTCCTCTGAAACAATAGATGGGGAGAGAATTTTCTCTGATTAAATTTCATGAGAAATCTTGGAAATCCCCAGGGTTGAGTTTTTGTTTTTTTTAAAGATATGAGTTTAAGTCACCAGGGATTGAGAAATCTTAGTAAATCCTTGCTTCATAAGTTCTGGTTAGTGAGGGAAGTGGTATTTACAGAACCTCTGCAGAATCGAAACCATGGAGCCATCCTTGATATCTCTTTCCCTAATCCTCCGCCCCCATCTAAACAGATGAAATGCCAATCAAATTCTTCCTTCACCATATCTCTCTTTTGCTATGGAGAGCAATATGGCTGAAGAACATTTTTCTTCCCCTTTCCTTAAAGGAGTGGGTGAGTCCCTTTGACCATGCTTATTCCATTCCACTGGGGCTGGCTCAGCGGGTGACTTTCTGTAGAGGTCTTTTCCTTGGACGTTGGAGAAAATCCAAAGGCACTTTGTTCAGAGCAGTCTTTCTACTGGGAAATAAGGAAATGAGTTCATGAGATTTTTAGTTTAGGGCAGGGATCCCATATCCACAGTGCTTCTTTTTCCTGCAATGTTAGAAAAATACAGATTATTAATAAAAGCTCTGACTTGACTCCAAGGCAGGCCATCTTTTGAAATGAATTTTCCCAGAAGCTTAGTTTCTGTGTGTCAATTATCCACCAACTTTCCCTCTCAGTCATACTCTCTATAACAAAGATACTAACTGGGACACAATTAAATTATCTTTAGCTAGAAAATCTACACTGAAAGTACAAAAAACCAGGAAGAAAATGTAAAAGAGCAGAGAAGCATTTAGTAATAAACAATGCCACCTATTACATGTGGCAATACAACAGAAGAGAAAAGGAGAGTAGAATAACTTCACGCTCATTCCCTTGGTTTCTTGGAATAAGTATGCTTTAGTTACTCCTTGATGCATTTCTTAAATAAGCCAAGCAGTGAACCCAGGAAAGGAAAAGGCTCCAACTGTTTCAAGGCTTAGATGCAGTTCTCCTGAAAAGCATCCTCTATCCATGTTGCTCCTCCCAGCAGTCACTGCTTTCTGTCCCCCTTGTTGACTTTCCCAGACTCCCCTTTTGTGGCTCTAGTAGCCCAATTAAAAACTGCTGCAGCAGCAAGAAAAAGACAAAACAAACAAAGAAACAAACCCTCTCTTACAGTTTTCTTTAAAAAAAAAAAAGATTTTATTCATGTGTGGTTGTGTATTCCTGTAATCCCTTCTACTGGGCTAGGGAGACCCAGGTGAATAGCGTGAGTTTGGAACTTCTGGACTGCAAGCGGGCTAAAGCCAATTAGGTGTACTCACTGAGTTTGGCATTACTGTGTTAAGCCCCCAGCAATGCAGGGCCACCAGGCTGTTTAAGGAGGGGTGAACTGGCCCAGGTCAGAAAAATAAAGCTGGTTAAAACTTCTGTATCAATTAGAATTGAGAACAGGCCCATGAGTACCTGTTACACTTCCATCTTGGTTCAGATAGGGAGATTCAGTCTCAGATAAATAAATAGATTTTAATTGATATCTTGCTTTTAAAACATCACTAGATTTCCTCCTGCATTCCTTCTCTTACCCTTTTCTAAAGAGCCATCCCTTATAAGAAATAATTTTGCTAAGAAGAAGAGAAAAAAATTCAACAAAGCCAATGAATACATCAAAAAATAATTGTCATATCCATGGACTTGGACATCTTCAAAGGGATGAAGGGAGATGTCTTCTCTTATCTCTTCTTTGGGGTCATGCTTGCTCTTATGATTTCATAACATTCATTTGTTTTTGCATTGTTGTAGTCATGTATATTGTTTTCCCTTGGCTCTTACTAAACTTTGATTCGGTTTATGTAAGTATTTCCATGCTTCTCTGTATTCATCACACACATCATTTCTTATAGCACAGTGATAATTCTATTACATTCATGTACCACAATGTCAGCCATTCCCCAATCTATACATACCTATTTTTTTCTAGTTCTTTAATACCACAAAAAGTGGTATTAAATACTATAAATATTTTGATGTATATGGTCCCTTTCTTTTTGTCAGTGACCACTTGGAGGTACATACGTAACAGTGGAATCTCTGTGTTATAGGGCATGAACATTTTTATTATTTTGTTTGTATTCATTCCAAATTGCTTCCAGAATGTTTGTACCAATTCACAGCACCACCAACAATGCACTAATGTAGTTGTTTCTAAACTCCAACCCCTGCCAATATTGGCTATTCCCATCTCTAGTTATCTTTGTCAGTTTTCTGGGTATGAGAGAAAATCTTACGACTGTTCTCATATGCATTTTTTCTTATAATTAATGATCTAGATTCTAGGGCATTCTTTAGCATGCTTGTTAATAGTTTGCAATCCTTCTCTTGATGAATGCCAATATCCTTGTACCATTTCTTTACTAGGGAATGGTTTTGAGGTTTCATGTATTTCCATTACCTGTCTCTGTATCTTGGATATCAAACCCTTATCAAAAATATTTTATATCAAAGTTCCCCCTCCTCCCCAGTAAACTACTTTCCTTCATATTCTAGTTGTGTTAGGTTTGTTGGTGCAAAAACTTTTTGATTTTTTGTGATTAAAATTATTTATCTTTTGTAATTGCCTCTGTTGTTTGGTTAAGAATTCATCTCCTACCCATCTCTTACCTATGAAAGGTATATGATCTGCTTTTCTCCTAATTTTTTATGATTTTTAATATTCTAGATATTTAGTGATATTTAATATTCTAGACATATATCCTTTTGAATTTACTGTGTAATATGGTATAAGACTTTGTTCTAGACCTAATTCCTACCAAACTGTTTTAGTTTTTCCCAGCAATTATGTTTTCCAGTTTATTGAACCAGATTACTGAGTTCAGTTTTTCCTCCAGTCTCGAGACAGTGATAGCTTTGTCTCTTCCTGGAATGGGAAAAACTACAACTCCCAAGGTCGTTAGTGACTTAGCCCCCTTCACAAAGCAGCCAGTATGAGCCGTGTCTGAATGACTATCACTTATGTCTCACATCCATGCCCATGGTTGACTTATATTGCCACTACCCTGCTTCTGGCCCACCTTATCTTTGACCTGTATTATTGTGATAGCCTCCCAACTGGTCTCTCTGCTTTCAGTCTCTCCCTGATCTAGCCATTATTCACATAATTACCAAAATAATCTTCCTGGTATATAGGTCTGACCTTGTCAGTCCCTTGCTTAAAGATGTTCAATGGCTTTATATGAACGCCTTAGGCCTGACATTTAAGGCCCATAGTCTAATTACAACCTATAATCCTAGGTATATTTCAACCAAATGACTATTAGCTGTTCCCCGATCTTCTCCCATCTTCTCCCAACTCTATGTATTCACATAGGTCATCTCCCTTGCCTATAACACACTCTCACTTAATTTTCCCTATTGAAGTCCTTTTTTCCCTTCAAGACCCAGCCCAAGTCACACCTTCTTCATGAAGGTGAAGACAACTAGGTGATAAAATGGATAGAGCATTGGACCTGGAGTCAGAAGACATGACCTCACATATGGCTTCAGACACTTCCTAGCTGTGTGATCCTGGGCAAGTCACTTAATATCTGCCTGCCTCATGTTCCTCATCTGTAAAATGGGGATAATAATGGCACCTCACTCCCAGGGTTGTTGTGAGGATAAAATGAGAGATATTTGTAAAATGCTTTGCAAACCTTTACATGTTATGTAAACATTTGCTATTATGAAGCTTCCTGATTATTCCAACTGAAAATGATCTCTCCCTTTTCTCTCTTTCCTAGAGCACTTTGGCTTTCTCTTTTGTCCCCACCACATTCCACCCTGAATCCTCCTTATTTCTGAACCTATTGTATTTTCCCAACCCTCTTTGAGGGCAGGGACTGTGTCTTTTTTTTTTTCCACTCTATGTTTTTTTTTTTTTTTTTTTTGGCAAGGCAATGGGGTGAAGTGACTTGCACAGAGTCATGCAGCTAGTAAATGTCAAGTGTCTGAGGCCAGATCTGAACTCAGGTCTTCCTGAATCCAGGGCCAGTGCTCTATCCACTGTGCCATCTAGCTGTCCCCCCCCTTTTTTTTATTCTCAAGGTCTGGCCCAGTTTCTTACATGTAGTAGGAACTCAATAAATATTTGCTGAATTAAATGACTGAGAATTATCTCCTCTACTTTTTCCTTTCCAGAATGAAGTTGGTCGCCTGGATGTGTCTGGCCTGTGCTTCTACAATGGCGCACCTCCATCATGATCCGACGCTGGACAGCCACTGGAAATTATGGAAGAAAACTTACGGCAAACAATATAAGGAACAGGTAGATGAGATGACAGCTGAAAAACTGCCATTAGATGCACTGGGATCTTATACCACCCTGGTAACTGGGTGGCTAAAGTGCTGGATGTGGAATCAGGAAGGTCCGAGTTCAAATTATGACTCAGATAGTTGAGTCACTCACTCTGTTGCACTTTACTCATCTGCAAAATCGGTGACACAGGGAGACAGCAGAGGATGAGATAGATAAGATCATGGAAACAATGAACATGAACTTGGAGGACAGACTTGCAGAGATAGTAGAGGACAGAAGGGCCTGGTGTGCTGTCGTCTACAGGGTCAGGAAGAGTCGGACGTGAGTGAGTGACTGAACAACAACCAAAAAATAGACCATCTCCCTCCTAGGGTTAGATCAAATGAAGACGAGTTCTCTCCGTAAAGTGCTTTGCAAACTTCAGAGTGTTATATAAATGTTAGCCGTTATTAATTACTGTTATTACACTCAGAAGCCAAAGACTCCACACATGGGGACATGGCCGCTTCAGCCTCCTTCCTATTCACTTTGAAAAAAACATCAGTGTTCTTTCCTTCTATTGCATTTATTAAGTGGCTGCTCTGTGCAAGGCAGTGTGCTTAGGGATCCCAAGACAAGAAGAAAACGTTTCCTGCCCTTTGAGACCTTATATTCTACGGGAATTAGATACATGTATTGTTGTTGTTCAGTCATTTCAGTTATGTCCGACTCTTTGTGGCCCCATTTGAGGTTTTCTTGGCAAAGATACTGGAGTGATTTGCCATTTCATTCTCCAGCTCATTTTACAGATGAGGAACTGAAGCAAACAGGGTTACGACTTGTCCAGGGTCACACAGCCAGTGTCTGAAACTGGATTTGAACTCAGGTCTTCCTGGCTTCAGGCATGGCTCTCTATCCACTGTACCACCTAGCTGAGCCTGACATATGTATAGTCCTCTCTGCATGACAGTGCTGTGTTCTATTGATTCACCTTCAGGAGGATAAATGTCATGAGTTGTTTTACCAGCTGTCCAGATGCACTGCACCCTTAGGTAGTTCCCATTACATTCAAAAACGAGGCTGCCCAGGGTTAGGATAAAGTTACTTTTTGGATCAATGTTGTACACCATTTGTATTAGGAAGGAAGATAAAGGTTTTGGTCCTGGACAACTTGATTAGAATCATGATGCTATTGATAGAAATGGAGAAATTAAAATGGGATTAGGAAGCCTTAAGTGTGAACATTTTTCATTGGATCTATGACATCATGAATATGGGTACTTCCTCCAGCAATGCAGACCAACCTTTCCCCTTCCTCCCCTTCTAATTTTATGCAATTGTTCTTGGCCTTCCAGAGTCTTTCAGAGAGGCTGTACCAACTCCCAGGAGTCTCCTAAAATTCACTGGGCATAATCAATGCAGTACTAAAGCTCTTGCCAGTTCAATTTTGGACATATTCAGCTTGAGGTGAAAGCAAGACATTCAATTGTGTTTAAGACAATTTGAAAAAATAAATAGGCCTGGTGGTCAGATGAGAAGCTAGGGCTGAAGATGATTTGGGAGCTGTTAGTATAACCATGAGAGCTGAAACCATGAGAATGAATGAACTAAGAGAAAGAGTGAAGAAAAAGAGGGCAAAAGGCTAATAACAGAGCCTGAGGTAGGGATGGAAGTTTCCACTGTTGAGATGCAAAAGGTAGGAAACAGATCCATGATAAGGGAACAGAGAAGAAGCAACAATAAGAGAGGCAGGAGAACCAGAATGGGATCATGTCATGGAAGCCAAGAGAGGAAAGAATTTCAAGGAGGAGGGAGTGATCAGGAGACTCTTATGGTGAAAACAGGTCAAGAAGAATGAGGACAGAAGAAAGACCTTTGGATTTGGCCAGGAGGAATTCCTCAGTAACCTTCAATAGAACAGTTTTTGTAGATTGTTGGGGACAAAGCTAAAAAATTGCCACTGGGTACTGAGACAATAAAAATAGTGAGCGGTTGGAAGGACCAGACAAAGCAGTTCAATTTTTTTGTTCTTAAAGTAGAGAAAAGCTTGCCTGTTCCCTTTGTGTACCTTCATCAATGTGTTTGCAAGTTATTCTCATAAAGATTTTGTGGTGCTGAGATAATAGTCATATAGATTGGAAGTTATTGATATTTTCTGTTGCCTTCTAGGCTAATAATATGGTCTGTGATTTTTTTTCCCAAGTAGTTGGTACACTTTCCTATTCCAGATATATTGAGAATAGTCTCACAGTGTCCCCAGAATTGTCTTGCCTCCAGGACAAACTTAATTCTGTGTGTAATTGGTCTTGTTCAGTTATTCCGATAGCCTTTTCTTTAGTATCATTTCTACTTCTTTGTGTAGTGCATCAGTCACTGTGATGTTAAGAGTCTTAATGTGGTGGCTTCATAGTCACTGATGAAGAAAAATGTTTGTTATAAAAATCTTTGTGCAGCTTTTCCTTTTCTCTTTTTGTTCTGTTGTCCTTCTGGTTTCTTCCTAACATACCATAAGGTAGAGCTGGCTTGTTTAAGCTAAACTTTTTGTAAATATGTTTTTCTCTCCATTGCTTCTCACTGTTTTATGAGGTAATAGGAGCATGGTGGAGGATTATAAGCAATTTTAAGAAATACAACTGTCTAATGAAAATCATCTTGTGAAAATGGGAAGATGATGCCTCATTGTTTGTAAACATTTTGATGATTTGAAGAGGCAGAAAAATAATTTTTATTTATTTAAAAAATGGAAAATAAATACAAAGAAAGAGTTTCAAGGATACTTCTATGCTAGACTGTTAATAATAGAGAAGTATGATAAGAAAATGTTATATTATATATTTATACATACATATTGTTATAGTGATCTCCATCAAATAAATTATAAGATAAAAAATAAAAATTAATGTATACTTAATAATTGTTATTGGAAATGTAAGTTGATTTTCGGTAATGAATTATATTACGTGTATTCCATTTGCATGGTCTCAGACACATTAGATCTAGAAAATGCTTTACTATATAATTCAACATACTATGCTGGTTTTCATTTGTAGCTTTTATCCAAAGTGTAAAATAACTGTCTATTCTCCTTAAATTTTAGAATGAAGAAGTAGCACGGCGACTCATCTGGGAAAAGAATCTAAAATTTGTAATGCTGCATAACCTGGAGCACTCAATGGGACTCCATTCCTACGATCTAAGCATGAACCATCTGGCTGACATGGTGGGTTCCCTACCTGCAAACCTACACTGTTGTCTGCAGGAAATCTGATTTCTATTTGAAAGACTCTGAAGGCAGCCAACAAAAGAGACACTTTAATAAGCAGAAAAGTCATATATAAATGAAGCTAGACACGACACCCTTCCCTAGGGCAGCTTGCAACCCATCCATGCTTTCTTATTCTGTTCAATTTTTGTTCATGTCTTCTCACAAGTCTCTATAGATCTGCTCAAAACAGCATAGGCCTCAGGCAGCTAGGTGGTGGAGAGGATAGAGCACCTACCCAGGAGTCAGGAGGACCTGAGTTCAAATCTGATCTCAGACACTTGACACTTACTAGCTGTGTGACCCTGGGCAAGTCACTTAACCCTGACTGCCTCTCCAAAAAACAGCATAGGCCTCTATTTGAATCTTTTGATAATTGTGTGGCTGTCAGTGTAGCATTCAGGCTATCTGTATGTTATTCATCCCTTTTGTCATGTGACCAATCCAGCTCCTTTCCCAATCCTGTGTGTCCTTGATGATATCATGCAGGCAGCTAGGAGGCACAGTAGATAAAAGCACTAGGCTTGGGAGTCAGGAAGACCTAGATTCAAATTCTGCCACATACCCTTATTAGCTGTGTGCCCCCGGACGAATCACTTAACCTCTGTCTGCCCCAGTTTCCTCACTGTAAAATGGGGGTAATACTAGTATCTGTCTCAGAGGGCTGTATTCATAGATTCTTTTCAATTTCCATATTAATCCTATAATAATTTTATTTCACATATAGTTTGTCATACCTGCATTTTCTCTTGCTTGAATTCTAGATAGGATTTTGGAATGTCTTTATTCATTCATAGCTTTAAAATTTGAGCTCATTTTTAAAAGTAACTGCTGTGTTACTTTTGTGAAATCAATTTAGAACTATGCCCCTAAAGTTACTAACTATGCATACTTTTGGACTCAGCTATATCATTACCTAGGCATATACTTCCCCCTACCCAAGAGATCAAAAACATAGGAAAATAACTCACATATTTATAACTCTTTTTTGTAGTAGCCCAAACCTGGAAACTAAAGGGGGGTGTCCACCTTTTTAGGAATAGCTAAATAAGGTGTGATACATATGTGAATGTAATGAAATATTACTGTGCCATGAGAAATGATGAAGTGGACAAGTTTCACAGGGAACTGGAAAGATCCTGGCTCTCTCTGGCTCCCCTCTCTCAGGATTAAGCTGGCTGCATTTCCCCTTTTGGACATTAGGGTACCCTGAGGGCTTGTGATGACTCTTCTTTACCACCATTGGCTCAGCTCCACCAGCTGTGTTCTTCCCATCTGTTAGGGGGGTGACTAATATCCCTCAGTTCCATTTAATTACTTAACATTGAGTAGCTTTTATGGAGATATTAACTTCAAAGAGAGAGCTAGAACCAGTATGTAAGCATTTCCTCAGTACCTCTCCCCTACACCACATCAGTCTCTGGAGGAGTAGTCTCAAGACTTATTACCATTCCTCCATACTCCCACCAGGGTCCAGATGCAGCACAAAAGCTGAATGAGTCTGTCCACTGGGCTTGGGTACCAGAGATCATTCCCAAAGATCACTGCATTGATGCTGGGCTGGCAGCAACACCCAGCCCGAAGAATTGCTTCCAGATTCCAGTATCTCTTTTCCCCAGCCAAGTCAGAGACTCCCACGCCCTAACCGTGGAATGGAAATGAACAAGCAAAAAAGGCCAAGGATCCAGGCTCCTTTCTTAGGGGGTGCCACATGCTGTTAGATGGGATAAAGGTCCCTTACAGTATAGTCTTTCACTAGATCCCATGACCTAAAGAGGCCTCGAGTTCCCCCAGACCAAAGGAAGTAAAGAGTAACTCGTCTTTTTGAAGATACAATTCTGGTTATTCAACTCAGCTGAAAAAAAAATCCCCTTCCTGTCCCTTGAAGACATTTTCCTTACATATGGTAACAGTGCTATGATAAATAGTTCCCTAGCATCCTCCCCATGGAGAGATGCCATCTGAGGCACTTTGCCCCTTTGCCAGACCCCCATGACACCTCTGTGATCTGAGGCATAGTGGAATCAGCAGAATTAGCAGAACAATGTATACAAAGACAACAAAAAAAGAAAATCTTTTTGTTGAAAATCTTTAGAACTCTGAATAATGCAGTGATAAACCACAAGTTCATGAATTATGCCACCCACTGCCTGTCAGAGAAGTGATGGACTTAAAATCCAAAATGAGGCAGGAATATTTGGACATGGTCAATGTGGAAATTTGTTTTGCTAGACTTATGTGTACGTATTGCAAGTTTTTAAAAAAAATGTATTATTGGGTGGAGTGAAAGGAAAAAGTAACAGAACTTTGTAAAAATAAATTTAAAAAGAAAATTATTTAAAATAAAAAAAATTAACCACCAAAACTTAATTTTCTTCAATAATGGGGACAGTTAGGTGGTTCAGTGGATAGAATGCTGGGCCTGAAGTCAGAAAGATCTGAGTTCAAATTCAGCCTCATACCCTTACCAGCTGTGTGACCCTGGGCAAGTCACTTAACCTCAGATTGCCTCAGTTTCCTCAACTATTAAATGGGGATAATAATAGCTTCTATCTGCCATGGTTATTATGAGGAGCAAATGAGATAATAATTGTAAAGTGCTTAGCACAGAGCCTGGCACATAGTAAGTGCTATATAAATGTTAGCTATTATTATTAGTTATCAAGTAGCACATGAATAATTATTTCTGCAAATAATTTTCTAATAGTTTAAACTCTATCCCTTCTGCCAAGATTTTAACAAAACTGGTAGAAGTTGCAATTTTCACCAGTTTATTATTCTCTTGTTCATAACCTGTGGGAAGACTGGTATATTAATGCACTTTTGGTGGAACTTTGTATTGGGCTAGCCCAGAGGTCCCAAACTTATTTGGCCTACTGCTCTTTTTTTTAAAAAAATTATTCAGCGCCCCTGTAGAAATCTTTCTTTAACCCTTTGACAGTTTTTAAAAAATTTTTGTGTTATTTAAAAAAATGATTTTTAAAAAAATGATGTATCTTAAATTTAATAATTCATTGTAAATTTGTGGGGTTTTTTGCTGCATTGAAATTTTGATGATGTAATATTGCATCATGTAACTGTATAGTATCGTATTATAAACAAGTCATTGCATGCAATATTCCTGCCAATGCATGCTGGACTTCCTGACAGTGTATGACACTCTTACTTACCAACACTTGCTTGTTAAGGCCTGTTGGTGAACTTGACCACTGATTAGTTATAACTTGCATTTTGTGTGTTTATTTGGAAAATCATGTAATCACTGCAACTTTAACTCTGTTATACAACAGATGAAGCATATACGAAGTTTTTCAAATTTTTCTTCTCTCCTTTCCTTATGGCTTCCACTGTGCCCTTATTTTTATTTAATGCCCCCCCCAATTGCACCCCACGCTACTACCACCCTCCTAGATTTGTCCATCGTCCCCCAGGGGGTGGCATCACCTATTTTGGGAACCAATGGTCTAGCCATTCTAGAAAGCAATTTGGAACTATGCTTAAAAAGCTACTAAACTATGCCTAATCCTTTGACCCAGAGATACCAGTCCTAAATCTATACCCCAAAGAGATGAAAGAAATAGGAAAAGGACCTGTATGTCAAAAACATTTGTAGCATCTCTTTTTGTAGTGACAAAGAATTGGAAACCAAGAGAGTACCCATCGATTAAGGAATAATTGAACAAGTTATGGTATATGAATGTGATGGAATACTATGGTGCTATAAGAAATGATAATAGGATGGTTTTAGAAAAACATGGGAAGAGTTGTATAAACTGATGCAAAGTGAAGTAAGCAGAACCAAGGGAACAATTCATATGATAATAATATTGTAAAGACAAACAACTCTGAAAGACTTGGGAACCCTTCGACACAATGACCAACGACAATTCCTGAAGACTCATGAGGAATCATGCTACCCACCCCCAGATAGAGAAGTGCTTAGCTCAGTAGGGATTGAGCCATAATTTGTTTTGCTTGACTACACATTTGTAATGGGGGGTTGTGACAAGGGTTTTGTTTTTCTTGCTTTCTCAATGAGTGGATGGGATGGGAGATGGAAAGAGAGAATGTAGACCTGAAAATAAAATTATTTTTAAAATTATTCTCTTATGCAAACAGAATTATTCTCTCATCCAAAGGAGAAAGTATAGACCTGAAAATAAAATTATTTTTAAAATTATTCCCTCTTCCAAAGAGAATCCACTTCACTTTGCACCAAAAAGTGAATTGGTTAAAAAGGTGTAGGGGGGGGGGAGGAATGCTGCCTAATGCTAAACTTGATAACTGATTTTGAACAATCATGATTGGCTGTACCTGTAGTGAAAATGACTATCCCTGGAGTTTATTGAGTAGGAGGGTGACATGGTCAAACCTATGCTTTAGGAAATCCCTTTGTCTTGCAGAGTGGAGGATAGATTGGTAAGAGGATTAATTTGAGATAGGGAGACAAAGTAGGAGGCTATTGTAATAGTCTAAGGGTAGGTGATAAGGGCCTGTACCAAGGGTGGTAGCTGTATGAGTGGAGAAAAGGGGTCATGTAGAGATCTTGTGAAGGTAGAAATGACTGGGATCCCGAAAGGAGCAACAGAAAGAAAATAAAGAAATGTTTCTTTTATAGACCAGTGAAGAAGTGGCTTCTTTGATGAGTTCCCTGAAAATTCCTAACCAATGGAACAGGAATGTTACCTACAGACTAAACTCCAATCAAAAGTTGCCTGATTCAGTGGACTGGAGGGACAAGGGATGTATTACTGAAGTGAAATATCAGGTGTGTTTTATATCCCCAAGCTACTATGGCCTACATCAATCTCCCTTTTATTCTAAAATTCCACAGCCCCGTGTAGTCTGACAAAATTTAGCAGACAAATTGTCTGGAGTAATTCTTCCCAAATAGATTGTTAAATCCTTGAGGGCAGACCCCACATCTGTGAGGGAAAGTTGAATCTTCCTAAGCGGTATCTCCCGTATTCCTACCCCAGTACTGCCCTAGGTTGGTTTGAGTCAGAACTGTGAAGAAGGTGTTTTCCAGACACACCCACTGATCATTTGAACAGGTTCCTTTCCCTTCCCTTGCTGCTCCCATGCTGCCCTCTTGCTGTACTAGGCCTTCCAGCAAGGCTCCCTCCAAGAACCCACATGCTACTAAAACCCAGGAAAAGATAAATCAACTATTTCACTTTTAGGTGTTGACAACTCTTGACAGTTTATTGTATAGCTTCTCTCAGTTTGGTGGGCAGTTTGGGTGGGCAAGAGGATCAATGCCCTCCCTAATCTGGAGGAATTAAGTAAATGTTTCAGGTTTCAATAACAGGTCACATATGTTAGAAGACAGGGTGCAGAAAGGGGACCTCTTTGCACTCTTTTCAAACGAATACTGCAACAGGCACCTGTCTACCCTACCCCTGTGTAAGCCCAGCCAAACATATGATAGATGCTCAATACATTTTATTGGTTTGATCTGTTGGCTTGACAGGTCTGTTCTGAGTTTAGTCCTTTGCAGATCGGGGGGGGGGGGGCGGAAAATAGGAACAGGAGAGGAGAGAGGTCCCCCTAGTCTGCTTTGTGGAGGTCAGCTCACCCTGATGTCCATGATTACCCTTTTCTCTCCTCTTTTCCAGGGTGCTTGTGGTTCCTGCTGGGCTTTCAGTGCTGTGGGAGCCCTGGAAGCACAGCTTAAACTGAAAACAGGAAAGCTGGTGTCTCTCAGCGCACAGAACTTGGTGGATTGTTCAACTGAGAAATATGAAAATCGTGGTTGTAATGGTGGCTTCATGACTCGGGCCTTCCAATACATCATTGATAACAATGGCATCGATTCAGATGCTTCCTATCCCTACAAAGCTATGGTATGTTCGAAGAGTCACTTAATGTAGCGGGTCCTCAGTTTCCTAAATTGTAAAATGAGGTAGTTGGTCTAGATGGCCTCTGAGTTCCCTTCAAATGCTCAATGTAGGACCTAGGGTCCTATGATCTTTCATTTTGAAATGTCTTTAATCTTTATAATCTTCCTTCTTAGGTAGGGTTCTATTTCATTTACGAATGGCATATTTTTTAAAATGAATGAAGATAATTTGATTTTTAAACTCTTGCTGCATATCCATATATCTAACACAGTGTTTTTGAAAATTTTGCTTCCTGGAAGATTCCTGTGATAACCCCATTTCATTCTCAATATTATTCCCTCTTACAAATTTATCTTATATACTTACAGAATATTAGACCTAGAAGGGACATTACTAATCACTTAATTCAACCCCCTCATTTTACAGGTAAGGAAACTGAGACCTAAAGATGTTAAGTGACTTGCCCAAGGTTACCTAAGATAGTCAGTGGCAAAACTGGGGCTTCTTCCCAAGCCTTCAAACTCTAAGGGAGCTGTGGGCCTTCCCACCCTCTCCTGGCCAAAAACAAACCAACAGCCAATCGAATTTTATTGAAACTTTAATCTCTGATTATTTCAGCATTTGGGACAGGACAGAATCATATCATAAAAAGATTAAAGAAGCTGAGGGGCAGTTATCCTGAAGAAAAGAAGGCTTAGGGGAAACATGATAGCTATAATAAAGTATTTGAAGGCTTGACATTTGGAAGAGGGATTACATTTGTCCTGCTTGGACCCATAGGACAGAGCCAGAAGCAATGGGTTGGAAACCAGAGATATGGCTTGCTATAAAGAAAATTTCCTAAAAATAGTATTAGCTAGAATTTATATAGTGCTTTATAAATACCTCATTTTGGCCTCATAACAACTCTGGGAGGTAGGTGGTATAATTATCTGTTTTACATATGATGAAACTGAAGCAGACAGAAGTTATATGACTTACCTAGGGTCAAACAGCTATTAAGTGTCTGAAGCTGGATCTGAACTCAGGTCTTCCTGACTTGAAGTCTAGCGCTGTATCTACTGTGCCACCCAGCTTTCTCTAAGAATTTATGCAGTCCAACAGTAAAATGGGTCCTTTGGAAGGTGCTGAATTCCCCTTGAATGGAGGATTGACTTTTCCAGAAGCCTAGGAGATCACTCCTCAGGGGCACCGTAGAGGAGATTGCTGTTTAAGAAGTTTTGGGCTGCATGACTTCCGAGGTCCTTGCCAGCTCTGAGATGCTCCACTAAGTCTGAGGGCCAATCTCCTAGCACTTTTTCTTTTTCTTTTTTTTTTTTTTTGGCGAGGCAGTTGGGGGTAAGTGACTTGCCCAGGGTCATACAACTATTAAGTATCAAGTGTCTTGTCTGAGACCAGATTTGAACTCAGGTCCTCCTGACTCCAGGGCCGGTGCTCTATCCATTGCACCACCTACCTGCCCCCTTTAGCACCCTTTCAATAAACATTAAGATCTCTATAACTTAAAGCAATATAGCTATGTGCTATGAGTGTGGAGGGATCATATTGCTTTTTTCCCAAGACTATATAATTCCTTCCCCTATCGCAGCAGCAGATGATTACTAAAGCTTAGATTAGATTTCCATTTCTGCCAAAGGAAATGTCAAAGGCCTGGGAGGCCTAGGAATGCAGAAACTCAGGAATAAAAAGGGTGAGGATAGGGGGTGTTATAAACTCTGTGGAAGGTGGGGTTCTAATCACCCTTGACCCTCTCCTTTCTCCAAGGGCAATTCCTCCTCAGGGGCATGGCTTCAGCTCTTGACTGACTCATTGCTCCACTGACTTGTTGCTTTTTATAGTAGCCTAAGAAGCGTGACCCAATCTCTGCCAATCACAAGGTGTTTCCTGTGGGTAGTACCATCTTCCTTTCATGCAGTGAATACTTTCATCCCCAAGTATTACAGTCTTTTTAAATTGATGAGAAGCTTATCCACACATAGTTGGTGGGTTGTAGAAAAGTTCCTTAATACACAGTTTACTCTGTTGATTGGTTAATTGGGGTGGGGGTAGAACTCTAGGTCCTCACATATATTTAGGACTTCAAAGAGGTTATGGAGCTTCTGTAAGAGTTTGGGATGTACAGAAGCACATGCGCCACATTTCTCTTTTCAGGATGGAAAATGCCAGTACAATCCGGCTAACAGAGCAGCCACCTGTTCACAGTACACAGAGCTACCCTATGGAAGTGAAGAAGCCCTGAAGGAAGCCGTGGCCAACAAAGGGCCTGTGTCTGTCGCAGTGGATGCGACTCTCGCTTCTTTCTTCCTATATAGAAGTGGTAAACTCTCAGATTCACCATCCCTCATTTTTCAGTATCCCTGCTGTACTATACATAGGAACATTGTCCCCTCCACCCCTACATGTTGAGGGATGTACGAAGGAATTTATTTTAAGTTAACTAGACCATGACAGATCTCTTAATGATCTTGTAGTTAGAGAAAAAGAATAACAGCCCAAAATGTGCTGCATGGGTATCTCTCATGTCAAGAGATCTCCACACGCCGGCTGGTTCTCCCTTAGAGATTTACAGAAGGACATGGACAAGAAATGCACAGGAGGAGAGGATGTGGATAGGTTACAATCTGCGCTGTTGGGAGCATCCACGTGGATGAACTCACACAGATCCATCCAAATACTGAAGTAACTAGATCCTTGTATGTTTGGCCTGGACTCGTAAATGATGTCTTACATCTTGTTGTAATTGGCAAAGCTGGAGATTGAGCACAGCAGAAATCTAAAATAAGCCAGTCAGTTTATAGACTATTAGAGCCGGAAGGGCCCTCAGAAGTCATCTGCTCCCACCCTGTCATTTTACAGGTGAAGAAACCAAAGCCTAGGCAGGCAGGTTAAACAACTCACCCCCACCCAGTGATACAGCTAGTGAGTGACAGAATGAGACTGTGAACCCAGCTACTCTGACTTGCCTCCCAAGTCAGCTCACTTTAATTCTGCAGACATCCACTAGGAACCTCTTCTGCGCCAGGCAGTGGGGAAACCCAGGCAAAAATGAGAACAGCCCCTATCCTCGACAAACTGAAATTCAGCAGTCTTTACTGAGCATGCACTTCATGTGTGGCATTGTTCTAGACATCATGGGAAGATAAGGGATCTGGAAAAACTTTCTTAAAGAAAAACATTTCTGCCATATAGTCCAGTTGAAGCCAGAATACATATGTATGCATGTGTGAAAAAACAAGCCTATTTACAAAGCAACATCTCAACAAATATAAATCAGTTCTAGAACCTGCTGAGTAATAGCATCTACAACTCACACTGTGGAGCTCTGTAAGATTTCCAAAGCACTTTCTTCACAAGAACCCTTTCAGGCAGGCAGGACAGGTAGGAAAATCCTTATTTTGCAGATGAGGGAATGGAGGCTTAGTGGTTTTGTTTGTTAAACTGAACATCTAGTCAAGACAATGAGCGTTTGTAAGATGCTGAATACATGCTGGACACTGCGGCTGATTGCTGGGAATACACATACAGGCAAAAACAGCCAGCCTCTGCCCTCCAGCAGTTTATATTCTCTAGAGAAGGTAACACATAAAAGGGGAACTGGAAAGTGGGGGTGAAGGTGCCTTCTCCGAGGCGTGAGAGTAAAAGCATGTTCCTTTCTTTATCTCCTATTCAGCTGCCAAAGGGATATTCATAAACAATACCCTGCTTCATAAACGCCAATGCTTCCTGTTACCTAGAAACAAATACAAATTGTTCTGGTTGTCATTTAGAGTCCTTCCCAATCTGGCTCCAACCTATCCTTCTAACCTTAAATGATCCTCTTCTCCCAGTGAAATCAGAAGTCAAGTCCTTATCTTTTAGATGTGTGTATGGCATTTTCCCTCATAGAGTATAAACTCCTAGAGGGCAAGTATTGTTTCATTTCTGTATTTGTATTCCCAGTATATAGCACACAGTCAGGCACATAGTAGGTGCTTAATAAATGCTTGTTGATTGGTTGACTGAATTGCTTTGAGTTAAATTTTTTTTCCATATAGCAACACATATTTGTAGTTATTGTTAAGGAGTGATTAGCATAGAGTGGGATTAATCGAGGAAGAACTCTGGAAGAGGTGTGGTTGGACTGATTTTTTAAAAAGTTTTTCTGGGGGGCAGCTAGGTGGTGCAGAGGATAGAGAACGGCCCTGGAGTCAGGAGGACCTGAGTTCAAATGTGACCTCACACACTTGATACTTACTACCTGTGTGACCCTGGGCAAGTCACTTAACCCCATTGCCTAGCCAAAAAAAAAAAAAAAAAAAGCTTTTCTGACTGGGAATTTTAAGCATCTGATTGAAGCTGACATTGTCTCTCCTGGTGACTTTTTAGTGGACCTTACTGAGCTAACCAAAGATGCCTAATAAAAAGCAGTTAGTTGTATGTCCATTTCTGTCCATGTCACATGTAATCCACTCCTTATTCCCAGGTGTCTATTATGACCCAGCCTGCACTCAGAAAGTAAATCATGGTGTGCTGGTGATTGGCTATGGTAACCTGGAAGGAAAGGACTACTGGCTTGTTAAAAACAGGTAAATATCCAAACTGATTTTTGTTTATGCCTCATACAGTTGTGCATCATGAAATGGTTTCAGTAAATTCTTTCAGGTAACGATGATAAGATTCCAAAGTTTCTGGTAAAATGACATGTTAAATGACTGCATGATATCTATATAGAACTATGGTAACCATAGTACATGGTAAGCATAGTATGGCAAACATCCTTATAAGATGCATATAAAGTCCTTCCCAGCCTTTTACTGCTATGATTTCAACAAATTAAAAAATAAGATAAAAACCTAATAGAGAAACTTATAATGCTCTTCATTTAGTTTTATTCACTTACATTGTTTTGTTTCTTTTTTTAAAAGCTGGGGCCTCAACTTTGGTGACAAAGGATATATTCGGATAGCAAGAAACAGAGGAAATCATTGCGGGATAGCTAGTTTTCCTTCTTACCCAGAAATCTAGAAGATCTCTTCATTTCATGTTTGATCAGTTAAAAAAGACAGATGATACTTTGTTCTGAGTTTAATTTTACTTCACTTCTACCAATCAGTAGAAATAACCAGAAGTGTATGTTGAATAGACTTAAATATAGTAAAAGCTTCATTAATCTAGGTTCCATTAATTCATAATTCTAACACAGTTGGGTTGAATTATAATTGTTGCACGTTTATGGAAAAAGAGGCTTGCTAAACAATTTATTTAATTTTTATTTAGTATTTTATTTTTCCCCAGTTACATGTAAAAACAATTTTTAAACATTTGTATTTAAAACTTTGAGTTCCAAATTCCCTTCCTCTTTCCCCACCCCCCCTCATGGAGAAGGCAAGCAATTTGATATAGGTGATACATGTGTAGTCATGTAAAACATTTCCATAATAGTCATACTCAAGAAAAACAAAGTAAAAAAAAGTGTACTTCAATCTGTACTCAGACACTATCAGTTCTTTCTCTGAGGATGCTTAGCATTTTTCATCATTTTCATAATCAACTTCAGACTTGTCTTGGATCATTGTATTGCTGAGAATAGCTAGGTCATTCATAGCTGACCATCTTACATTGCTAAGCAATTTAACATTGTTTTTAGAGACAATTACAGAAAAGAATGCTTGACTATTAAAAATTTGTTCTAATTTAATCTTTAATTGTCCAATTTTATAATTTTATAAATTTTATAATCACCTTTTGTGATTATTTAAGAATAAATCTTAAATAATTTAGGACTTATGTATTTCTAAATGTCTGTTATTGTCATATAACATTCATTTCTTATTCTCAGGTATCAGTACAACCCACCTAGTACTTAGAATATAAATCACAATGTACTAGTAATTAGGTATAATAATTTTGGTGGAAAAGACTGTGGTTCCTGTGTACATATCTTGTCTTGATTGTAAACTCCTTGAGGACAGGGATCTTGTGTTTTCCATGTTTGTATTCCTTTACAAAGCCTAACACAATACCTTTCACACAGATGCTCAGTATTTGCTGAATAAGTTTGAAATAAAAAAACTTGAAAACAAAACATTTAAGAACTTTAAAGACCTTCATTATTATGTCAACAATTAACGTGCAACAGTAGTTACACATTATTTTTATCTCATAAAAGTTTAGGCCAGCCAGGTACTTGAGCAACACTTTGGAACTCAGTTGAAATTACTGCATAGATATAGAAAACTGCTTTTCCTTAAAAACACATTACAAATTCAAACTTTTCATTAATTCAGATTGATTTTCCTTACAACTATACCAGATTATTGAGGATTTGTAGTACATAGTTTGTAGGGAAATTGTAGATTTCATAGGTCCCTTAGCATGAGCAGGGTCAGAGGGAAATAAATTTGGTGGAATTGCAAACTTACAGAATCTTTTTGGAGAGCGATCTGGCAATATACCATCTGCAGTGAAGTTACAAAAATCATTACACTTTTTGACCCAATAATTTCATTGTTAAGAATATACCCTGAAAAGTGTTATCAAAAACAAACATAAAGAGCTTTCTTTTACAAGACTTTCATAGCATTATTTGATGGTTGCAATAAGCAGAAGGAAAATGAAAGTCCAACAGTAAGGGAACGGTTAAATAATTTGTGTTACATTAATATAATGGAATAGTTGGGACCTGTAATTTCATTGGTACAGGAAATTCCCTATAAGACTTCAGACGGCAACTGTTCTGCAAATTAATAGTCTTAGAGAGTTGGTTAAGTGATGTCCCCACAGTCGCACAGCCAATGTATGTCAGAGCTGAGACCTGAATGACCCACGTGCACCATGGTGCCTCTGGGATACTAGATGTAAGTCGCTGACAACTTTGTGGAATAAAACTATAAAGGGAAGTGCTCCGAAGCACAGAGATGCCCACTTTGCACTGACAGTGAGAGACAGGAAGGCAGGTGAGTCAAGACTGGCAAATCATGGGAGCGCACACAGGCAGCTGGCCGGTGCTTCTTGTGTCTCTGGAGGGTGAGGCTGGAAGAGCTGCTCTGCATGGGATGCCAAAGGCTTTCTGAGCTCAAGCCATTCCTGCTCCTTCCCTTTACATATGTAGAAAGGGGATTTGACTGGGTCCACGGCCTCCAAAGGCTAGGAAAATTCCCATGAATAACTCCTCGTGTCATAAAATATAGACTCTTAGGTCAGCTTGTCTAGGAGGCCCTGAGCTCATCCTCTCCCCTTCTCCTCCTCCCTCCCTAGCCCTCTGGAACTCAAGTCATTTAAGCCTTGTAGCCACAGGAAGAGAGGAAGGAAAAACTGGCCTGTTGGAGCCATCTGTACACACACATACCCTCCAGGCTCAGCAGCCAATTAGAAGCTCGGTCGACAGTCACAGAATACCTGCACGTTCTCTGACGGGGAGAACAGGCCTTTCATGAAGCTTTTCCAGTAGCCAGCAGATCACCAGCGACAGGCAGATCAGACTGGGCTTATTCAAGGGACTAAGCTCTCTACTGGATAGTTCCTTATTAGACTGCTCCATCAAAATGGCTCAGGCCCTGATCCAGTTGAGATTCTAATTTCCTTTCCAATTTTGCATGTCTCAAAGAAGACTACTTCCTCATATGTAGACTATATAGAACTGAATGGAATAAATGAAATGTTTAACATTAGAAATCCAGAGCAGCAAGTACGCTCCTGGACAGCATATGAAATTTCAATCCCCCCAGACTTCACTACAGTGAAAATAAAAGCAACAACATCAGCTTCAAACTTTGAAATCTCAGCTTCTCCCAGTCCAGTCTTTTGGCTGAGTATTTCCTAGATGTGCCCACACAGTTTTCAGGAAAGCTTTCTCTAGGATACTGCTTTCTAAGTCTTATGAAAGGAAGGAGAAAATCATTTGCCTTCTACCCTGTCCCATTGATGTACTTCTTAAAGAGGCCTATTCGCTAAATGGACGTTGCCTCACTCAAAGTGAGAACCTGAAAGGACCTTAACTTAAAAAGACCAGGGTCTCCCACTGCATCCTGGGCCATCTCCAGTCATCCTGATTGATATTTGGCCACTGGATCCAGATGGATCTGGAGAAGAAAGTGAGGCTGGTGACTTTGCACAGCCCTTCTTCACTCAAATCAAAGTCAATTGCAAGTCATATCATCATCTCTCTGATGTCATGGTCCTTGAGAACAAATCACAACCTGTAGAAGCTGCTCTTAATTCCCAACTTCCAGACAGGTAAATTTGCTACCAGTCACCTTGGCCTGCTGCCCTGGGGAACGCAGTTGGGTGCAGCCCCAGGCCTATTTCCAAAGGCCTTCAATGTGTATCTCCAGCATTCCCGTCAATCAAGCTGTTAGGAACACAGGATGCACTGACCCAGACTCCCAAGAGTCAGAGAATCCCCAAAGGTAGAGTGAGAGAAAAAAGCAAGGGCCACATCATGCTTTTAAAAGCTCTCACCTGAGTTCTTGTCATGACCCTGCGCTTTTACCCTTTATGAATTTCTGGCTCTACCTACATCACCTTAGGCAAATCACTTACCTCTCTGCACCTCCATTTCCTCATCTGTAAAATGAGGCTGTTGCAGGAGATGATTTCTGAGGTTCCTTCCAATTCTAAATGCATGATTTATGGTCAATAACTCAAATTAGCTCATCTTCCCACTCACTTTTTCTGTTCCCTTAGCAGCTAATAGAAAATGAAGGGGGAGTGAGGGAGGGGACACTAGGCACCTGCTGCTTGAGAAGGGCTGCCTCAATCATGCATTCAAAAATCTGGAAAGGCCTTTATGAAATAATGCAAGGAAAAAGAAGGAAGAGGAAAAGAACATAGTATACACCATGGCCCTATAAGAGGAAAAATGAATGACAAGGAATAGATAATCAAGAATCCTGTTAGAGATGGAATCACTAAAAACTTAATATTTTTGCATCAAATTAATTTAAATCAGAGTTAATAACCATGTTCAATTACTTGTCCACTATTAAGTTTATCATAAATCATTTAGTAAAGCTATTTAAAAATCATAGGTCAAAGTTTCTGAGATGAAAACCAGCAGGATAATATGATTCATAGCTCTTAGGCAGACCTGGAGCTTAACAATGAATAGTTGCCTATCTTCTTCTTTCCAAGACAAAAGGACATTTTTTAAAGGAGGAGGAAGGATTTTGGCTAAATAACTATGACTTTATAATAATTTCAACATAATAATGATATGAAAATCAAGAAAAAAGTACAGAGAAACCTTATCTGTAAAGTCATTTATAAAAAATTAGTTTTTCTTTGTATTTTTAATATCTCATTTTTTGACTTTGCAAGTTATTATGAACAGAAATGATAAAATCCATGTTAAAACTTTTATTAAGAGTCATTACATGACTGCAATGGAGGGAAAGTTTTAGAAAAAATGCGCCAATGACTGTCACATTTTATGTGATTATGATTTTGGCTTTCTTTTCTTTTAAATTTATTATTTATTTTTATCATTCTTTTTTTTTTTTTGAGTTCCAAATTCTCTCTCCCCGTAATCTCTGCCCGTTGAGAAGGCAAGGAACATGATATCAACTAGACATATGAAATCATGCAAAACATATTTCCATATTAGCCATGTCACAAAAATAAAGAAAGTGAAAAAATTATAATTCAATTTGCATTCAAATTGCATTCAATTGCATTCAAAGTTCATCAGTTCTCTCTGGAGGTGGATAGCATTTTTCATCATGAGTCCTTTGGAATTGTCTTGGACCACTGTATTTATCCAAATTAGCTAAGTGTTTCACAGTTGTTCATCATTACAGTATTGCTGTTACTATATACAATGATCTGGTTCTGTTCACTTCACCCTGCATCAGTTCATATAGGTCTTCCCAGGTTTTTCTGAAACCATCCCATTTGTCATTTCTTATAGCACAATAGTAATCCATCACAATCATTTACTGCAATTTGTTCAGCCATTTCCCAATTGATGGGCAGTTTATCCATTTCTTTGCCATCATAAAAAGAGCTGCTATAAATATTTTTGCACACATTGGTCCTTTTCCTTTTTCTTTAATCTCTTTGAGGTACAGATCTAGTAATGGTATTGCTGAGTCAAAGAGTATGCACAATTTTATAGCTCTTTGGACCTGGTTCCAAATTGTTCTCCAGAATGGTTAGATCAATTCACAACTCTACA